CAGCCCCGGACCCCTCCCCCCGGGACCGACGGGGAGCCACCGGAGAAGGGGGACGCGGAGCGGGCCGACTCCACCTACGGCTCCTCCTCGCTCACCGAGCCCTTGCCTTTGCTGGGGGGCCCCGGGACCGACGACCCGGCCCCCGGCTCGGCGCTGCCCCCCGCGGGGACCCTGAGCCCTCAGCAGCTCGAAGCCCTCACTTACATCTCGGAGGACGGAGACACGTGAGTCAGGTGGCGAGGCCGGGTGGGAGGCGGGGAAGGAGGCTCCGCGGCTCAGGAGACTGACCCCCCCACCCCCCACCCCCATCCCGCCAAGCGCTCGCCCCAGGCGGGACAGCACCTTCTGTCTTCCAAACTTCAAACTCAGCTCTCAACTACGCGTTTGAGCGCTGAGGAGGGGCCAGACCAAAGGACCTGGCCTCACCTCTCTGCCCGTCTCCCTTTTCAGAGCTACCACGACCCCTTGCCTAGGCCCCTGGATGGAATCCCAGCAGGCATCCTGGAAACCTACCAATAAGCCGCCCCTGGGAAGGGAAAATTCCCTGTTTGGTGTTGTTTTGTTTTTCCCGTGCTGGGGGAAGGGACATCCTTGCTTGCTCAATCTCTGGGATTCCCAGCTCCTGACCTCAGAAGGTCCTGTCTCAAGGAACAAGAGTCACCAGGTTACAGGTTGTCCTTCTGAGGCCAGGAAGCAGGGAGTTGGGGGGAGTCCTGCCAGGATTCCTAGATGCTGCTGGGAGCTAGACCTGGGTCAAGTGACTGAGCTGGTGCACCTTTGCCCCCAACTACAGACAGAGGTCTGTCTGCAGCAGCATACTTCCTCCTCTGCTGAGAAAGGGGAAGTGAGGGCTGGAGTCACCTCCCCTCCACCCTGAGCCTGCCCAGTCATTTGGACTAGCCAGCCTTAGCCCCTCATCTTACCTGTCCTTCTCCAGGCCCCGAGGGAGTTTGAGTTTGGCCTGGTGGCAGCAGAAATAAGAGACAGTTGTGTGGGATGGGTTAGCCAGCTGAGGACTTACCCCCAGGAAGAAGAAAACAACAGCAGAGGGGGAGTGGCTGAGATTTGGGGGTGAGAAATAAGATGGGGGTAGGGGGCTGGAATCCCCTACTCAGGGATGCTAGACTGAATAAGGCATAGGAGAGGTAGGAGATGCTTTTTTGGCCATGCAAGGGTCCTACCTGGGTGGGCATTGGCACTGGTGATGATTAAGTAGAAGAGGAGAGAGACCCTTAGGCCTTGTGTACTTTTTACCTAGATCACCAGCCCCCAGGCTCAGAACTCCAGGGTTTGGGGCACTCCAAGGAACTATCCCTTTGGCTGACCTTTGATCCAGGGATCAGGGATATGTGACACTACCCTGTTTTGCAGGCCTCAGCCCCAGCCTTTGCCTGTACTAGTTCTAGAAACAGGTGTGTGTGTGTCTGTCTGTCTGTGTGCGTGTTTAAGGAATCCTCAATGGGTCCCCCAGAAAGATGGAGGTGGAGCTACTTTTCCTCCCTTGGAGGTGGCTGGCTGAGCTGTGGGAGGTGTGGAAGTAGGAAGAGGAAGTGGGAGGAGGGGAGACTGAGGGAAAGAGGGAGGTGGCTGCAGGAATGTGACCCAGAGAGCAGGCACTGGCCTAGGGGATTTCCAGAGCTGTTCCTCCCTCTTCACTCTCTTCTGGGCCTCTCCTGGCCAAAGCTTGCCCACCTCCTGCTTGAGCAGCCCACTCCCCAGCCCAGACAGGCCTTTGAGTGAAGCTGCCCTGTCACTAGTGCCCCAAGGCCTAGACCCTCCAGCTCCTGTGATCCCCACCTGATGTGGGGGAAACCCCGTGACTGGAACTTTCCCTCTCAGCTGTCCCCCTCACTCTTAGATTAAGACCTTTGTCCCCCTCCACCAAACACCTCCAACGGGAAGTGTGTATCAAAAAAGGGCCTCAAGCCAGACCCATCTGGCCAGTACCATCTGAGGAGTGGCCTTCCCACCTCCCCTGAGCAACAGGCCGGGATGTGTGCTGTCTCCTTGTTCCTCTTCCGGGACCTTGTTTCCCTCCCTTGGAATGTGTGACACTGAGTTGCTGGGGGAACCCCACATCTGCCTCCTCCCATCCTCCGTGTTGTGGGGAGGTGGGGAGCTCAGCCCTGGAAACCCCCTCTGCCCTCCTCCAGCAGTTTTCAGTTTGGCTTTGAGCGGTGGCCGGCCTGGCAGGGCCCTGGGGACACAGGGGATCTGGGTGTGGGCAGGCTGGACAGGAAGCCCCCTGACCCATCAACACTCTGCCTACACATGGGAGCTTTGTGCCTTAGCCCTCAGAATCCTGCCTTCCCTTACCAGCCCTCCCTTCCTGATCCAAACTCACTTCCTCCACCCACTCTGTCACTAGTTAAAGGCTGACACATTCCTTCTGACCTCAAGACCCCAAACGTCTGGCCTGGCTGGACCCTCACCCCAAGCCCTCCCTTGCCCTCCAGGCTGCTCCACCTGGCAGTGATTCATGAGGCCCCAACTGTGCTGCTCTGCTGCCTGGCTTTGCTGCCCCAAGAGGTCCTGGACATTCAGAACAACCTGTATCAGGTAGGTAGCAAGAGCAAGCTATGCCCAGGTGCCTACCTGTTTGTGTCCTGGCAGCCATCCCAGGCTTCCACACCAGGCTCCTTAGGTTGCTGTCTCCGGAAACCATCTGGCAGATTTGGGGCCAGAAGCTGAGGATGTGGCGATGAGTAACAGCCTCTGCCACAAGGCTTGCCGAGCTGGGGAGGGTACCATCTAATTGCCCAGTTGTGATAAAGACTCAAAGCCTCAATGTAGCTGCTGTGGGGTCCAGCATCTTTGTACAGCAGGCAGGGAAGCCTAAACGGAGGAATTTGCCAGGGACACTGCCTGACACCCTGTGTTTTCCAACCTGACAGCCCAACTTGCTGGGTATCTCAGCCCTCCCCAGAGGGTAAGCGACTACTGTCTTCCCCCACATGTCCTTTCTCGAGGGGCTGAGGAACCTACAAGAAGAATAGAGGGGCCAGGCTGAGATCTGAGGATCAAGGTTCAAAGCCAGCCTGGGCAATAAAGTTCATGAGACTCTTATACCAATAAACCACTTAGAAAAGGCCAGATATGGTGCTGTGGTGCAAATGGTAGAGCCCTATCCTTGAATAAAGCTCAGGGACAGTGGCTACGCTGTGTTCAAGCCCCAGAACTGGCAAAAAAACAAAAACAGGTGGCCATTTCCGGAATTGGGGTCCTAAGAACTAGGTGAAGGTTGACAGAGAGAAGGTTTTGGAAAACCAGGACTCTAACAGAAGGTGCTAGTCACTAGATTGCTAGTGCTACCCAGGGTGTTCTCAGCGGTGGGAGCATGCTCTAACAGCCCTGCCGCCCTCTCTCTGCCCACAGACAGCACTCCACCTGGCTGTTCACCTGGACCAGCCAGGGGCAGTTCAGGCACTGGTGCTGAAGGGGGCCAGCCGAGTGCTACAAGACAGACACGGAGACACAGCGCTACATGTGGCCTGTAGGCGCCAGCATCTGGCCTGTGCTCGCTGCCTGCTGCAGGGGCAACCAGAACCAGGCCGAGAACCACCGCACTCCCTGGACCTCCAGCTGCAAAACTGGCAAGGTGCGGGCATCCCCAGAGCCTGCGGGATTCACAGGGGACAAGAGACAGGGACCTCACCAGGGCGGGCACATCCCAGCTGTCCCATGATACTTCCCGAGCTTTAAGCACATGGACATAGTACATCCTGATGAAGGAATGAGTGAATGAATGATTTGACACACCTACTGTGTGTATTTAGTCAGATATAATGGCTTATGTGTATAATCCCAGCTACTCAGGAGGGAAGCCAGCCAGGACAGAAAGCTAGCAAGACTCTAGCCAAAAAAACCCCAACAAAGCAAAAGAGGGTCAGAGGAAGCAGAGGAAGGCATGGCCCAAGTGATACAGTTCCTGCCAAAGAAGCATGATGTCCCGAGTTCAAACCCCAGTACCGAAAAACAATAATAATTTAATAGACATAGGATGAACTCTCATTCATCTAGCAGAAAACTACCGAGGGTCTTCCATGTGCCAGATAGTATCTTAAGAGCTGGGCTTATATTTGAACAAAGCCAAGAAAGACCAGACACTCAGTACACAAAGTGGGTTATTTAATATGTTAAGAGGAAGCGAGTGCTATGGTAGAGTAGAGCAGGATGGGGAGGGCTGGGATGTGGGGGTGGGAGAGCTGTGATTTTTTTAAACTGGGGTGGGGGATGGTCAGAGAAGGTCTCATGGAGCCAGGGACCCTTGAACCCACACTTGACAGGAAACATGTAAATTTGAATCTAAATCTCAGTACAAGCAGGGATCGGGGAAGGAGGGAAATCCACACTAGAAAGGAGATAGCACGATGGGGCTTGAAGGCAGGTAACAGTCTAGAGTGGAAAGAGGGGTGATGAGTGGGGTTGTTGCTAAGTAGCTGACCCCTGAAGCATGAAAGTTTCAATAACATGACCTGAAAAGGTCATATTGGGTTCCTTTCCTTGTAGACTTTTGAGGGGGGATTTTGGGGTTCCATTTTAATATTCCTGTGATCAGAGGCATTGAGTGGGCAGAGGTCCCTTGAGGCTGTGAGGGCAGACAGCCCCTGAAAGGGGGGGAACCACTGGGTGCTGATCAGTAGCCCCTACCCCACCCAGGTCTGGCCTGTCTCCACATCGCCACCCTACAGAAGAACCAGCCACTCATGGAACTGCTGCTTCAGAGTGGAGCTGACATTGATGCCCAGGTAAGTCCACTTGGGCACTACCCCACCTGCCCTCCCCACCCAGTAAACCCCAGGTTACCTGCCAGCACCAGAAGTGGCACTGGCTGGGCACCAGTGGCTCACGCCTGCAATCCTAGCTACTCGGGAGGCTGAGATCTGAGGATCGCAGTTAAAAGCCAGCCTGGGTAGTGATGTCTGTGAGACTCTTATCTCCAGTAAACTACCAAAAAAAAAAAGGTGAAGTGGGGCTGTGGCTCAAGTGGTAGAGCTTTAGCCTTGAGCAAAAGAAGCTCAGGGACAGCACCCAGGCCTGAGTTCAAGCCCCAGGACCAGCCAATAACATAAAAAAGAAGTGGTGGCACTCACTTCCTTCTTCTGAGCTCAGCCCAGCTCACTGCCTCAGGGCAATGGCTGACTTCCCTCTTCTTCTCCAGGAGGGCACCAGTGGGAAGACTGCCCTGCACCTGGCTGTGGAAACCCAGGAGCGCAGCCTGGTGCAGTATTTGCTGCAGGCTGGTGCCCGGGTCGATGCTCGCATGCTCAATGGATGCACACCTCTGCACCTGGCAGCTGGCCGGGGCCTCAGGGCCATCTCATCCACACTGTGTGAGGCTGGTGCTGACTCCCTGCTGCTCAATGTGGAAGATGAGACGCCCCAGGACCTGGCTGATGTAAGACACTCGTGCTCTGTCCCACTCCACTCTGCTCTTGGGGCCCCCACCTCCACAGCAGATAGGCACTGCCATCAGCTAGAAGGGTCTGGAAGTTGGTTGTTTGGGGTATGTTAGTTACTGACTTTGGCTCCCTAAGCTGCCCTCTGCTCCAACCTGAGCCTGTTTCTTAGTGGTCAGGGCCAGGAGGCCCAAACATGGACTCATACAAGGTTTCTTGCAGTTACAGTGAATCAGCTGATTTCAGCTGTAGGCAGATATATGACAACCCAAAGGTATTGAGGCCTGTGAGAAGCCCGAGCCACGCCCCAGGATCACCACTTAACTTCAGCAAAGGCTTGCATAAACGCAGAGTGTGGCAGACCCAGGAAACTTTTGAGAGGTGAAAGAGATTATTCTGTACAGTCCTTTCAGTTTTCAAATGTTCAGTGTTAAGTTTTAAAAAAGTTAAAAAACAACAACAAAAAAAACCCCTGAGACCTAGGGAGAAAAATGTTTATAAGTACTTTTCCCCCAACACCTGCAAATACAGCAAATAGGCCCATAGACTGGATTGCCTCCAATCTCCCTTTTAGCTTGGATATCCTGCATTATTTTATTTATTGTGCTGGTACTGGAGCTTAAAACTCAGGAGTTGGGCACTGTCCCTTAGCTTTTTCACTCATGGCTAGCACTCTGCCACTTGAGCCACAGCTCTGCTTTCAATTTTTTGGTCATTAATTGGAAGTCCAGAGTCTCATGGACTTTTCTACCTGGTCTGGAAAGTCGAACCATGATCCTGAGACCTCAGCTTCCCAAGTAGTGATGGTTACAGGCATGAGCTACTGGTGTCCACCAGCTGCTGCATCATTTTGAAGAATGAGAGCTTGAGTAAGGCCTTGGAGCTGTGCCATGCCCAGATCAGCCACATCTGGGGAATCCGTAAGAAAATACATTTCTGATGTTTTTCAACTCTAGTGGGAAGCCAGTTTCCCCACCTCTCTCCTGTGACTAACCTTCTTTTCCTTCTTTCTCAGCCCCTGACACTTCTGCCCTTCGATGACCTGAAGATCTCAGGAAAGCCACTGCTGTGTGTTGACTGAACCCAGTGTCCTGAGGATTCTGCCTCTCCCCATATGGAGACTGCAGTTTAGAAACAAGCAATTCTGGTGTCCTAGGGACTGCTGAGGCCAGAGCCTGGGGCCTGGACAGTCCAGAGCTGAGAGCGAGGATTGCAAGTGAGAAAAGGCTGTTCTGGATGGAAGGAAGAACTTCTGGGATGGACTGGATGAAGAGTTTTGGAGGACCCTCTCAAAGCCCCAGCTATCCTGGGTGAAGCCCACTAGCATCTGTTGAAGATGGCAGGGGGTGGGTCCCGTATTTCTACACATGTTGGATCAGGCTGAAATGCCAAGCAGCAGGAAAACATGGATCCCTCTGAATAAGAGACTGCAAGAGGATAAAGGGAGAGGCCTCAAGGGTCTCATCTAAAACACTGATGTTGAAGACTTCTTACAGAAGCCCTGAACTTTGGGAAGGGATATTTCAGTAACATGACACTAAAATGGCAGACTTAAAAAAAAAAAACAAACAAAAAGTTTTTCTTCTAGAGCTGTTTCTGTAATTAGGCCTTCCCTGCAATCTTGTGGCCAAGGTAGAGGCAAAGAAGGAAATTGTCCCCTGAGCAAGGCTGAATCTTGCTAGAGCCAGGTAGGGATCTGAGAATTCCCAGGTCTGTTTCTGACCAGCACAGCTTCTATCTTTCCTGTGGAAATGCAGAAGGATGGAGAGGGAGGAGGACTGAGAAGATACAAGCCCTGGGGCTGCCATCTGTTGGAGCACGGGGAGGCTGAGCGGGGAAACAGCCCTCCAGTTCCCTCCCATTCCACAGGCTGAGGGCCATACTGGGTCAGCCTATGACTGGCAACAAGAACATGGAGCGGTAAACCACACGGCTTCTGACTGAAAGCTTCTAGTCTAGCAAGACTGACCACCATTAAAGTCATCAGCACCACGTTTGTCCTCACAAGTGGAGGTGGGAGCTGGGCAGGGAGGACCAGTGAGGCGGGTGGAGGACCAGGACCGGATTGGGTGGCCGGGACGCCTGACGGCTGGGAAGGGGGCAGAGCCCTGGGGAGGCCTTTGGTGACAGCGGAACTGAGCGGCCGCGGAGCTCTGCCGGAGAGTGGGCAAGAGCGGTGGGCCAGGTCATGTTCAGCCCGGAAGGTCGCGGGGTCGGGGGACGGTGGCCGGGCTTAGCAAAAACGGGAAGAGGACATCCCCCAGGCCGGAGCCGGAGCCGGAGCTGGGGGGCGCGGGGCCTCGCTGCCCCCGCCCACGGGGCGGGGTTGTTGGCCCCAGGCCCGCGCGTGG